AGGGCATCACCGCAGTGCCTTGCACTCACAGTGTAATGTAAGTTAAGGACCGCCCGCCTTCAGAGAAGGCCTGAAGAGTACCAATGTAACCGGCTTGAGCATGTATTTCTGCTTCTTGTGCTCCCTGCTTACTGAGATTTCGGTTTCAAACTGATGAGCAATTTGAAACTTACACAAGGCTGTGCTCACACCCCCAAAACAGAAATACCAAGTGTTTTTTCCTAGACTACAGCAGGGAATACTATTGAGGATCCCTAAATTAAAGTAAACCTGTTACTTTACTCAGTATAGGCAATGTTCAGGTTCCACCACTATTGGTATTGGTAAGACAGGAATTTACTACTTTCATGAACAAATTTCTCTATATGCTCCTTTAAACTTCTTAAAGTGACTCTGTCATGAGGAAAGGTTGTGGGCTGCCATTGCTGAAGTCTCCTTTTAAGAATGTTAGTTATCTGACTGGAATGCTGATGTTTTGGCTTTGACCCAGACCAATTATAGAGAATAACTCCAGGCAAAAGAAAACATAATCCTTGCAGGGGGGCTACCCCTGCACTGCAAGGGTTAAGTACTCCTTTTTGTCTAGGGTCTAAAATAACAAAGATATACTCATACAATCTTGGGTTCCGCCTGGGTGCTAGACCGGTGCCTGCAGCCTCTCTTCCCCTCCACTCCTTCTGCCTGAAGTTCTTCTTTAACACTTTTCTGACACTCGTTAACGAAATGCTTCTTCCTGGTCTGTGACTCAAAATGATTGAAGCCACAGTCAGGCACCTAGCATTTTCAAAGATGGCCAGCAGTGCCCATACTTTTTTTCCCCAAATTTCCCAGTTTCATCCAAATTCAGCAGCCATTACAAACCAGATGATGTCCTTCTTCTTTGCTGGATTCTTCCGAACACAGAATAAACCAATACCTCAGGAATTCAGGTGCAAGAAAGTGACTACTTCATCACAGCCTTGCAATAGGTGGTAGTGGCCCAAACTATTCACTTTGCAGTGAGGAGCAATTCACAGAATGAGCATTGGACAAAGCTCATTTGTAGTCATCGACAGATTATGTGTACCTTTTCCTGACCGAGACTGTATGGAATACCGCTGATAAATACAAAATGTTATGTATTTTTCAAATTGCATGGCACTGAAAATATTTGGGTGTATACATTTATTGGCTATTTTCCTACTTAGTACTCGCATACAAAGGATACAAAATTAAAATGATTTCTAACACAGCTCCAGCAAATCCAAAAGTGAACAATGATGCATTTCCGATGCCTGGACCCTAAGGTGAAAAAATAAATAAATCAATTACAATTAGCAAGAATTAAAAAGCTGAACCAAAAATGTTGAAATTATAAATGTATTAAAGCTTTTGTATTAACATATGCTGTGTTTCTGAACAATTGATCTGGATACCTCGGGACTCTGAGTATTTCTATCTGTAAGTAAAACTCGGCCTTGGTTTATTATAATCATGTGAGAGCAACAAGCTTTAAACAACAGGCAGTACGGAGTACCAGGAAAACAAATTAGAATGAGCCTGTAGCTCCCTCCTACTGGCCAAAATAAGAATACAAAGTATTACATACTTAATATTCATTTTTAAAATGTACATTTTTATATCACAATAAATACAAAAGCAGTCAGTATTACTTCTAATATTGAATATACCTGCATACTTACAGAGGTCAAAAAGAACATAGGGTGGTCATATTATTGTTATGCTATTAGATTTATATTGTGCCAACAGTTTTCTCAGGGCTTTACAAAATAAAGGGAAGATAGGACAGTTACAATACAATTTAATACAAGAGGATTACGCTTGTGAGAACTTACAATCTAAAGTAAGTTACATGTGGAGCGAATTTTGGCCGATACTGGAGGTGAGCATTGGAGAAAGTAACAAGGGAGATAGAGAGAAGGAGGTCTTGGGAGGAGTGAAGAGGATGGTTTGTGTGATATTTTGGGATAGTAATGTAGCTCAGGCTCAGGTCAGAACTGTAGTCATATAATGTAATATTGATTAAGTCTTATATAGGTTTGAGTACATTCACATTTGTGATCACGCCCTAACAAAATATTGGATATATAAAAAAAGGTTGGGCTTATTTTCATCACACAAAAATAAAGCAGAACTGCAGGTAAATAGATAAAAAACATTTATTTCAGTAATATAACTTAATGTGTCTTTCATAAGACTAACAAAGGTACCTGAATCTGTCTCAGTGAGTCCCATTTATACTACAGCACAGCAGCAATCATACTGAGAGGAAAGACAGCATTCTGAGCCAATCACACTCTTCAACACTGGACAGTTCTGTACAATGAACATGAATACAGGGAGAGGGGACACAGCGACAACCTCATCAAAGCATGCCGGTGCTCCATTGAGCAAATTCCAGCTGAAGTGGGGCCTTTTAACCACTTCGTGACTGACGACGTACAGTGTACGTCGCCAGCATCGGGGCTGTTTAAACAGACTCCCAGTGACTTTTGCCGCCGGGACTCTGTTTAAACTTGTAGAGCCGACTGTCGGCTTTACAACAGAAGCGATCCTGGCGACTTACCTGTCGCCAGATCGCTTCTGCGTCCCGAAGAAGGGGCCGCCGCCCCCGCCGTGCTTCCCGGGCTCCGTTGCCGATCACGGGCACCGATCTTGGTGTCCGCGGGGAGCTGGGGAGGAGGTCGACGAACTTCCGTTCATCGATCCCCTCCCCGTTCTATGGGACCGGGAGCGATGCAGATTGCATCCCTTCCGGTCCCTGGGCTGTCAGTTCTGGGCTCCTGGAGCCCAGCTATAAGCTATTGAAGTGCGATCTGCACTTCAATAGCTTATTTCCAGTGTAAAGGTGACACTGGGGGTCTTTTGGACCCCCAGCATCACCTTAAAGAG